CTCTTGTTATTCTGTGATATTTTCAAAGGCACTGACTGTGTTTCTCCACTGTCATTTGATGTTGTGGATGGTGCTTCTAGTTTTATTTCTGAATGATAAAATGTGTTCCTGAGAGCTGGGGTGCATATAAGCTATGAAAAATAACTTTTGTGCATTTGGTATAATGGAATACACTCGAATTTGCCTTTCTTTCAGAAACAACATATAAAATTCAGGGATCCTTCATTGTCCCTGGGCTATGTATATATTAATCTTTGCTGGGGAGGGAACTGTCTTATAGGCATCTCTAAACTAGCTCTGGGGTCTTCAGACTTGGCCCTTTTATGACTGGTGGACTTCAACTCCCAGAATTCCTCAGCCAACGTGCCTGGCTGAGGAATTCTGTGAGCTGAAGTCCACATGCAGGGATCTTCAAATGTGGCCCTTTGATGACTGGTGGACTTCAACTCCCAGAATTCCTCAGTCGGCCGTTTTGATGAAACTGTGGGCTTGGATCCAGACCAGGGGTCTTCCAACTTGGCCCTTTGATGACTGGTGGACTTCAACTCCCAGAATTCCTCAGTCGGCCATTTTGATGAAACTGCAGGATTGGATCCAGACCAGGGGTCTTCCAACTTGGCCCTTTGATGACGGGTGGACTTCAACTCCCAGAATTCCTCAGTCGGCCATTTTGATGAAACTGTGGGCTTGGATCCAGACCAGGGGTCTTCAACCTTGGCCCTTTGATAGCTGGTGGACTTCAACTCCCAGAATTCCTCAGTCGGCCATTTTGATGGAACTGCGGGCTTGGATCCAGACCAGGGGTCTTCCAACTTGGCCCTTTGATGACTGGTGGACTTCAACTCCCAGAATTCCTCAGTCGGCCATTTTGATGAAACTGCGGGCTTGGATCCAGACCAGCTTTGCCGGCTGAGGAATTCTGGGAGTTGAAGTCCACCAGTCATGAAAGGGCCAAGTTTGAAGGCCCCTGGGTTGTATAATATTCACCTGGAGAGGATGCTGGCAACTTGGTCCTCCGTAACCAACGGCTGTCTTCTCCCTTCATATCTAGGTTGCAACCTGAAGATCTTCAACAACCAGGAATTTGCTGCTCTCCTGGCTCAGTCTGTGAATCAGGGCTTCGAAGCCGTGTACCAGCTCACCCGGATGTGCACCATCAGGATGAGCTTCGTCAAAGGATGGGGAGCGGAGTACAGGTGGGTGGAGGAGCTGCCTTGGAGAATTCCCTCGGGGCAGGGTTGAATTCCCCAGTCCCCCTTCCGGTGGGGTCCCCCCCTGCCTCACAGAACCCGGCCTAGCCCAGGCTAAAGCTTAGCATTCTTCTTTTTTTAAAAAAAATAAAATAAAAATCTTCATTAAACTAGACATCCCCAATTCCAGCAGCCGTTCCTTATATGTTTTAGTCTCCGGTCCCCTGATCCTCTTTGTTGCTCTTCTCTGTACTCTTTTTCAGAGGGATTGTCGAGTGAGTTTTTTGACCCGTTTTACGATCTTTCTTAAAAGCCCCGGTTCTTCGGCGAATCGTTGCAGTTGCTAAGCTAGTAAGACGGTTGTTAAAAGTGCGTCTGGCTTTCCCATTTGAGTTTTCTTGTCAGAAGGGGGGATCACATCCCTCTCTCTCTCTCTCTCTCTCTCTCTCTCTCACACACACACACACACACACACACACACACACCCCTGGGAACACTGCAACCATCATAAAGATGAGCCAGTTGCCGAGCATCCAAATTTCTATTATGGTGACTTGCAGCGGATGCTGCGAATGTGAAAAACGGTCATAACTCCCTTTTTCTCAACGCCATTGTAACTTCGAACGGTCAGTTGTCAGTCAAGGTGAATGCTCCAACACTGGACGTTTTTAAGAATAGACTGAAATGGTATAGGGTCTGAAATGGTATAGGGTTTCCTGCCTGAGCAGGGGGTTGGACTAGATGACCTCCAAGGTCCCTTCCAACTATTCTATTCTATTCTATTCTATTCTATTCTATTATTATATTATATTATATTATATTATATTATATTATATTATATTATATTATATTATATTATATTATTATATTATATTATATTATATTATATTATTATATTATATTATATTATATTATATTATATTATATTATATTATATTATATTATATTATATTATATTTCACTCCATTTTTTCTCTTTTCTTCTCTCTTCTCCTCCTCTTCCTCCTCTCCTCTTCTCTTCTCTTCTCTTTTCTCTTCCCCTCCACTCCACTCCACTCCACAAGTTGTGAATGCTCCAACACTGGACGTTTTTAAGAAGAGACTGGACCGCCATCTGTCCGAAATGGTATAGGGTTTCCTGCCTGAGCAGGGGGCTGGACTAGATGATCTCCAAGGTTCCTTCCAACTATTCTATTCTATTCTATTCTATTCTATTCTATTTCACTCCATTCCATTTTTTCTCTTTTCTTCTCTCCTCTCCTCTCCTCTCCTCTCCTCTCCTCTTCTCTTCTCTTCTCTCTTCCCCTCCAC